TAGTAGAAGATAGCTACGAACAAGGCATTCTTGATCAAAAACCTTACAAATTTAAAGTATGAAGATGGTAGCCTGATTGTAGAGCACCTAAACAAGTTCCAAAGCATCATGAATTAGCTAGCGGCAATGAAAGTCACTTTTGAGGATGAAGTATAAGCATTGTTCTTGTTGGGAGCTGTTGTCGGACAACTAGGATACCTTTGTGGTAATAATAAAAAACTCTACTCGGAATGGCATCATTTGCAATAAGTGTTGTTACTACAAGCCTGATTAACAAAGAACCAGAAGGAAGGCACCAGGCACAGAACATGCACTCATCACAAAAGATAGAGAAAGAAGTAGAAGTAAAGCACCTCTGACTTTCCACAAAAACTATAGAAATAGATCATACTCTATAGGACCTGCGGTGAAGTGCTACTATTGCTACAAGGAAGGACACATCAAAAGAAACTGCAAACAGTTAAAGAAGGAGTAGAAGGGAGGCAAGTATCAGAAAAATAACGACGACAACAACACCGCTACTGTAGATGGCGAAGTGGATCTTCTCACACTTAGAGAAGAATGCTTGCACGTTGGAGATGATGATGCTAACTGGGTGGTTGACACGGCAGCTTCATACCATGCAACACCCAATACAGAGTTCTTCACATCATGCAAATTTGATAACTTTGATGTCATGAAGATGCGAAACACCAATCAACCAAATATTATCGACATTGGTGATATTCATCTACAGATAGATTTTGGATGCATTGTGACCTTTAAAGATGTGCAACACATTCTTGATTTACACTTTAATCTCATATCTAGATTGCTTTGGACTAGCTCCGCTACGAAAATTACCTTCAGGATGAAAGATGGAAACTCACCAAGGATCTCTTATAGTTGCCAAAGGGAAAGCATCTGACAAACTATATCGAACTCAAGCAAAAATGTGCGGTGACAGTATAAACATAGTGGATGATAACTCTTCTCGAAATCTCTGGTACAGAATGTTGGGTCACATGAGCGAGAAGGGCCTACAAATATTGGCAACGAAGGGACTAATTTCCTTTTCCAAAGGTGTTCCTCTATATTCATGTGATAACTATTTACTTGGCAAGCAATATTGAATTTCATCAGTAAATCTTCCCACAAAAATCTAATAGGTTACATTTGGTTTACTCTGATGTTTGTGGTCCCATCAATGAAAAGTCTATCAGTGGTAATAAATATTTTGTCTCTTTATTGATGATGCATCTAGAAAATTATGGGTGTATAACATAAAACTAAAAGACCAGGTGCTCGCGTATTTTCATAAGTTTCATGCTATGGTGGAGAGAGAGAGAGAGAGAGAGAGAGAGAGAGAGAGAGAGAGAAGAGAAGAGAGAGAGAGAGAGAGAGAGAGAGAGAGAGAGAGAGAGAGAGAGAGAGAGAGAGAGAGAGAGAGAGAGAGAGAGAGAGAGACCAAGAAGCTTTTGAAGTGCCTCCATACAGACAATGGAGGTGAGTACAATCCAAGGAGTTTAAAGGCTACAACTCAAGTTATGATATACGGCATGAAAAGACTATATTAGGAACTCCGCCACACAATGGTGTGGTAGAGAGGATGAATTGCACCATCATAGAGAGAGTGAGAAGCATGCTAAAAAATACAAATCTTCCTAATACATTCAAGAAGAAGTTCGCACCGTGTGCTACTTGATCAATCGATCTTTGTCAGCTCCTTTATCATTCGATTTTCCGAAGAGAGTATGGACAAAAAAACATCTCTTACTCTCATTTGAAGATATTGGGTGCAACATATTTGCACATGTTTCTAAGGAGTAGAGATCGAAGCTTGATGACAAGTCAACTCAATGCATCTTTATTGACTATTGGCAGATAGAGAATTTAGGGAAAGACTGCGGGCGGCGGATCCTATAAATAAGAGAGTCGTCAGAAGTAGAGATGTGATCTTTCATGAAGACCAAATGATCGACGGGAAATCAGATGATGAGGTTGATAGAGATTCTAATCCTATGATAGTTCCTTCCCCATTAGAGGATGTTACAGCAGGGGAAGAAACACATAATGATGTGCAAGACATGTCAGAGATGGACAATAGTGATGATACTGTGAGAGATAATGATAATGGAGAAGCTGACGAGGATGGCGATCTAGCTCCTTAGGACTGTACAGGACCTCAACTTAGAAAGTCCAAGAGTGTCTGTTAGCTGTCTACAAGGTACCTCTCTAAAAAATACATTTTAGTTATTAATAAGGGGGAGCATGAGAATTTTCAAGAGGCTCAATCTCATAGAGACAAAGGCCGTTAGGTCCAAGCGATGCAGATGAGATGAATTCCTTATATAAGAATAATACTTATGAGTTGATGAAATTCCTACGGCTAAAAGAGCACTGCAAAACAAGTGGGTCTTCAAACTGAAGAACGAGGGAAAACATGCGCTAGAGTACAAAGTGCGGCTGGTTATCAAAGGCTTTCGACAAAAGAAAGAAGTTCATTTTGATGAGGTTCTCTCCAGCTATGAAGATGACATTTATCATAATAGTTCTGGGTCTAGCTATGAGCCAAGATCTCGAGTTAGAGCAACCCGATATGAAGACCACATTCCTTCATGGTAACTTGGAGGAAGAGATTTACATCGTGCAACCAGATAGATTCAAAGTAAAATAGAAAGAGGACATGGTCTGAATCTAAAGAAGAGCCTTTACGAGCTTCAACAAGGTATCATGATAATGGTATAAGAAGTTTGACTCATTTATGGTGTGTCATGGATACACGCATACAGTTGCAATTTTGTGTGTATATATCCGGAAGTTCTCTGAAATGTAATGTCATCATTCTTTTTTTATGTTGATAACATGCTCATACAATGGACGGGACACAAAGATGAGTCAAGCATTGAAGGATGAATTATCCAAGTGCTTTGACATGAAGGACTTGAGCTAGCATGCCAAATACTGGGCATGCATATTGTTCAAGATAGGCAAGCAAAGAAGCTATGATTATCTTAGGAGAATATGTTGAACAGGTGCACTTGAATGATCCAACATAAAAGGTGCTATGCCTATTAGCAAGCCTCTCACAAATCAGTTTTAAATTAGCAAGAGAGATTGTCCAACTTTAGAAGAAGCAAAGAAAGAGATGATAGATGTTCTATACTCCTCAGCAATTGGGAGTCTATTGTATGCTATGGTATGCACATAGCAGAATATTGCTCAAGCAGTTGGCGTAGTGAGTAGATATATGTCCAAACCTGGAAGATAACATTGGTAAGTTGTGAAGTGAGTTCTCATATGTTTGAAGGGCAGTTCAAGATTATGCTCTACATTTGGCTGTTCAAAACAAATTCTGAAGGACTGTATAATGCAGATATGGCGGGTGATCTATCTAATAGAAAGTCTACATCTAGATATTTTTTTTACTTTTACAAGGAAAGCTATATCTTACCAGTCCAAGCTACTAAACTGTGTTGCTTTATCCATGATAGAAGTAGAGTATATTGCAGCTGTAGAAGCAAGTAAAGAAATATCGTGGATGAAAATATTTCTCTAGGAACTAGGTTTGAAGCAAGATTAGTACATCGTGCACTGTGAAAGTCAGAGAGCTATTGATCTTAGCAAGAATAGTATGCACCATTCTCAGATGAAGCACAATGATGTTAGATATCACTGGTTATGAGCTATAATGAAAGAGAAGCAAATGCTACTACGGAAGATCCAACTGACAGAAATCCTACCGATATGACAACGAAGGTTGTCCCTAGGGAGAAGTCTGACCTCTGCATAAAGTTGACAAGAGTGGACCTCTCCAAATAATCTGGAGAGGGAGAATCATTGTGTGGGTTTCGTCTCATTTGGAGGTCACACAATGAAAACATGGGATGGTGCAAGCATGTAATAAAATGTTTGCACATGGTAAATGAAATGTCGATGATGATGGAAGTAGCAAAGCCAAATAAAATGGCCTATAGCTACTTTTAACTCTCCTTTTTATAAGGAAGAGTGTGTGTCTCATATTCAAGTGCTAAGGCTATAGGTAGCCTTCACTTCTTTGGTTAGAAGTAGAATACAGAGCAACAAGCAGAAGTAAACCCAATCATAGAAAATTGAGTTAGTAAAATTGTGAAGAGAGAGAAAAGGAAAGAGAGTTAGTCTTTGGTATTTTTTCTTTGTTGAAAAAGGTCCTCTTTTTCTTTCCTTTTTGTTACCAGTGTACCTCTAGTCAAGTGTCCAGGGAGGAAACATTGTGCACCCATTATATTCATATTGAAGGTTTTTCTCTAGAGTAGGGCCTGTAATTTTGTGTCCAGGGAGGAAACGTTAAAAATATTGGTGTCCTGCTGATTATCACCTGTGGTCATTTTGTTGTTATTTGTCTTATCAAGGTTAACTAATCACCTCGATTTCCCAATAACTAAAATGACAACATTAAAGAAGAAATTAGAAGTCTCGAAATCAAGCCTTTTCATTTATAGATGTATTAAGATATGTATAAATCACGATGAATATAGAGAAAAATAGCAAGCTTCTCTTCTCAATCTCTCTTGTTTCCTCTCTTAAATTCTCTTCTTCTCTCAGTTGTTAAGAAAGAAACAAATCAGAGCTATTCAAAGGCCTATAGCATTATGAGTGCAAGTTTGCTCGGTTAACGATTATGAATCTTGGAGGGTAGGCTGCCAATAATGTGCTACACCAAAAAATACTCTCAAAGAGGCGATGTCTACTTTCAAGGACAGTGCTTTTGCACGCCTCACTCACACTAAGAGAGGTTCACTTTCATCTTCAAAACTTGTTTTTAGTTTCATAGTAATATTCCTAGTTAATTTAATAGCACAAAATACTGGTGCATCATGTACTGATAAAGAAGAAGAATGTCTAATACCTTGGTCTCAACCTGATGATGGATAATTGACAATTCTCTTACGCTGTTCTGAAAATTGTTTTAGCAAAGTTTACAATAGTTCACATCACAATCATAAAGCATCATTGCAACTACTTGAGCAAGAGACAAAAAAGAAGGTTAAAGTTTAATGAGCTTACTTTTGCAATTTGCGGGCTTTAAAAAAGGACAAGTTCTAGGAGTTTTGGGAGAAAACTAATCAAGATGCATCTCATTTGACTTAACCTGACATAAATCTATAACAATAGAAAAACTTCTTCTTATAAAAATTTTGGCAGAAAACTAATCAAGATGCATCTCATTTGACTTAACCTGATATAAATCTATAACAATAGAAAAGCTTCTTCTATTAAACTTGAAATGGGTGAAAGCTTCTTCTATTAAGTTGAAATGTGTGATTCCGAAGCATGCATGCTTTGAAAGAAATTGGCCTTCCCTTGCAATATATAGACTATCCGAGTTTCTGCTCTTGCTCTATTTCTCAATCTCATCGACAATGTCTTCTGGTTCTCCTCCCCATTTTCTTATCCTGTCCCCAGCAATGGACGCCTAAAATAAAAATTTAATACAATGTAGGAAGTTGAATATTTCAAATTTGATAAATCAATGAGGAAAATTCTAGAAGCTTTAAAATTGATGCCAATAAACCTGTAAGTTTTTGCTTCATTTACCTCTTTGTTCCAATCTGTTCGGTAAGTCATCCAAAATAGAATTAACGTTTGAGCCACAGTGCCAGCTAGCATTCCATACCAAATGCCCTAGAATTGGAGCACGTCGATAAAAAGATAAAAATATAAGAAAACTTGTTTTTACCCTACTCAGTGAATTTCACAGGAATACTTGATTTTAAAATAACGGATAAATTTACCTGTACGCCCAAGTTAACCTTATAACCAAGGACAAGGCCGAGGGGAATGCCAAATACATAATAACAACCGACATTTACATATGCAACTGCTGCTTGCCATCCTGCTCCTATTGCAACCCCTGTTGAAAAAAACGTAATTTTTTGTTATATAATGGAAAATTGATGTCTAAGCTTAATTTATTACGGATTCTTTTATGTCAGTCCTAGGTTGGTCTAATGCTGCTCGATAAAAAATGGGTATTTCAGAAATTAAATTGAGAAGAACTACACACCTGAAAGGACAGGCTGCACATTGTTTATAATAATTGAAATGACAAGCAATGGTGTGAGCATAATCACAAGCTGTTTCACCTCATCACTATTGGTGAATAGCGATGGATACTGATTTCTCGTTGTGATCAAAAGCAAGGAAAGGACAAGGCCTATCAAGAATGAAGTTATGACGACCACTATAACTGAGAATTTTGCAGTTCTTGGATGGCATGCACCGAGTTCGTTAGACACCCTTACACTGCATAACAAGAACATAGTAGAATGTTATCTGCACTTTTATTGGTATAGTTAAATTCTATATATAACAGGGCTAAGATTCTAACCTTGTGGCGGCATTGGATCCAATGGCAACCATAACTGCCCACCCTAGTATGTTCACACTGTCAAAAAGGGAAAATAGCTCAAAGTCTAAGTTAAAAACTTACCTGTTATGCATTTGAAGCCAATTTATTATTGTTATGTATGTTCAGTTCATTAGGTCTCAATTTTACTGGTGAAATGTTAATAATCTACATCATATCATAATTTGACTGAAAATTTTTGACTGGATATGGGGAATTAGCCACCATGATAGGCCTCAGTTTTATGTGCATGTTAATATAGTGGGTGCGTCTGCAATTGATCTAAAATGAATTATGTTCATCACATAAAATTTTCATCATTTCTTTTGTAAAGTTCTTCAATTTCCCCGAGAAATTTTCCTAATTAGAGCGCAATGCATGACTTTTAGACATGAATATTACCATATTGACAGTCCATCAACAGCAATCTCAGCATTTTTTAGATATCCAGCGAAAAGTATCAGTGCCATGTAGTACCAGACTTCCAAGCTGCAAGAGCATTCAAAATTTTGTTTAGATATTTTAGCTACTTAATTAGAAACAAAGAAAAAGTCAATCCAATATCTAATTGTCATATTTATGCTAGCATTGAGTCATTATTATGAAAATATTTTCATAAGCTTTGAAAACACGGCAGCCATACTAGAGCCTCTTAGGTCTAAAAACATGTGGATGTATACAAAACCCTCAAAAATTGTAGATAACTGGCCCAATGACATGGATTCCTTAACATCAGTAAGAGGAAACTTCCTAATCAACTCCAATCTTAGACATCTCTGGAGGGTTCTTCTCCCAAGTTTCTGTTGGTGGACATGGAACTGTAGAAACAATCTGATATTCAATGGCAAACAAGTATCACCGCAACTGATTGCTTCTAACGTCGCTCGTTTTACATTATTCTGGACAGGAACTTTGGGGAGCAGGAAGGCTTCGCGCCTCTACAAGGCAGCTGTTGACTTGGGGCTGAATGCAATGGCCAGAGAGGGGGATGATGACGCAATGGGAGATAACTTCATGGCGATCAATTAGCTTCAGACAGTCTTAGTGGCACCCCTTAGTGTACCTTTTGGTGAAATCAAGTTTCTATTACCATCTTAGATTTCTGTATTTCTGGGTGTTTTAAGTGTCAATCTGGTGATACTATGTGGTGCTTAGCTGCTAGTGCAGTAGTATATTTTGTTTCATGTTTGGGAGTTTTGAAAACGAGGTAATATGAGAATGGGTGACGACTAGGTCCGCTCCCCACTCCATACAGCTTCGGTCGGTTTCAAATTACTTTCCTTTCTATGTAAGTTATAC